TGATAGAAAATTGACGAGTTTTGATGAAAGATTTCTGCTTAAAAGTTGGTGTGTGTGTCTATCTACTAATTAAATTATATAAGGAGTTATGTGTTATTAGGTCGAGCTTATGAAAACTTATAATCTCTTATTTCTTACAATACCTACATAATTATGACACTTATACCACGTAATCGGAATTATACCTGTAAGGTAATGAGCTATAACTATCTTAAATATATAAGAGAGTATTATCTTCTCAATTACTAAAACCCTCAAATATACAGTGAGCAGGAAAATCATGACACAGGGTATTGTGAAAAATCCGAAACATAAAGAACATGGTTCAAAGCAGAAAAAGCTGCCTCGAAAGAGGCGGGAATATGACGAACAGTTATGTCGCACCCGCTATCAAGCGCTTCGTCATGCTATAGCAGCTGGCGATAACAAACTTGTTAAAAGAATTCTAGAAATCCCAGTCTTGGATATTAAAGCGGAATGTTCTTTGCTATTGCATATAGCATGTACTGGAGATAAGCAAAGTGCAGTTGAAGCGCTCCTTGACAAAGGAGCTGATACCGAGGCCAGAGACAATCAAGGCCGTACAGTACTCCATATAGCAGCTATCTATGGGAGAAAGAAAATCATGAGGTTGCTTATCGAGCGCAGGGCCGAAATTAAGGCCAGAGACAATCAAGGCCGTACATCACTTCATCTAGCAGCTATGAATGGGAGAAACAAAACCATGGAGCTGCTTATCCAATTCGGGTCCGAAACCGAGACCAGAGACAATCAAGGCTGTACAGCACTTCATCTAGCAGCAGCTGAGGGCAAACAAGACACCATAAGAGTGCTAATCAACCATAAGGCAAAAATCGAAGCCAAGAACAAGGCTGGCTGCACTCCGCTTTACGAAGCATGCAACTATAACTACGATCTCGCAGCGAAGGAGCTTATAGAAGCGAAAGCGGACGTAAATGCTGAGAATGGCGAGGCAAATACACCACTCCATGTCGCAGCTGCTAAAAACTTCTTCAACATTGTAGAAGTACTACTCGTAGAAAATGCGGGCACTGACCTGAAGAATAAATACGGCAAAACTGCACTTCAGGTAGCAACAGAAAACATGGCTTGGGATGTAGAAGAACTTCTTTCTTCACTAATATTCTCTTAACTCATCTTGTTCAAATTGTTACTATATTCTTCATTTTTTTCTTGTGTAATTCTTTGAGGCTGAAGTGATTTAGTTAAAGACTTCAAGTACTTAGTTAACTAGTTAGTTACCTAGTTAAGTAGTTAATGAAGAAGTGATTTTTATAGTACAATTAGTTACATGACGTCAATCCAAGCTTGCCGGGACGGACGGTATAATTGGAAAGTTTTCGTTTCGGACCCTTGCTGTTTTTTGTTTGCATGATTATCGACCTAACTACAGTCAGCGTGGTTATCAATCTCCTGATCAGAATTACACCCAAAGCTGACTATCACGTGATCTTCAGCTTGCTGACAGGATTTCAGAGCTTACACAGCTACAGGGCTTCGAAGCTACAAGTTTAGCTTGAAGAAAATTACATCGTAAACGGTTTTACACTAGCCACATATAGAAGCTACTCGCTAGGGAAGTACCGACAGGGGTGGCGATCACACATGAAAATGGACACCACACCACACCAAGGGCTGAGATTAGCTCTACAGCGTGGCCAAAGGTTTCCTTAGTATAAAGGTGCAATAGAGCGAGATGGAGGCTATCTGTAGCGGTGTCACTGCTTTTCTCTTGAAAAGATGTCTTTTGCGCAGACTTGTCAACAATCAAGCTGAGATCAAGCTCATCAAGTCAAGTCAAGCTGGAGGCTCCAGCCTGACTTGGCTTGATTGTTGACAACTCTGATTTTGCGGATCAGCGCGGATTTTACAACAGTAGGATAATTTTTGTAAGTAGAGACATCTACACCTATAGAAGAAGGCAAAAAACAAACATGACCTACTTATAAACATAGTATGACAACAACGTGTGGATAGAAATATTGTTTTTTGAAGACAAAGTACCCCTCTTTTCTTGCGGCACAAGGGGATTTGCGTGAAACAGGGAGGGAAATTACTGTCATTCGTTTAGCGAACCAATATGATTTAGATGTGAGAGCTTTCACTATCTCTATATTCAAAGTTGTTGGGGTATTCATTAACGAGGTAGGCCGGTGCAAGATAAAAGTAGTTAAACATATGACACTAGCTTCTCCACTCATACAAACTCCCAAAAATTCCGTCAGTAGGTGGATTGGAATCGACGCGAACGCGACAAGGGCTATGTCAGGCATGGATAGTAGCATCACGCATTTGTGCTTCCGAGTGTGGAATTTCACCGGAAAGTCATTGATAGATGTAAACCTAGCTCGATATTTGGTTTGATGGGGGAGCCAGTGAGCGCTTGTAGACATGCAAGGAGTAGCTGCAACATATCGTGGCTGCATTATCTCGAGGCAATCAATACGCCCGGCCGAACCTCTCAAGCGGTCCAACATGGATGTATTGCCACATGCATGTCCTGACGTTTGCCTTGCATGAAATTGTGATACGCTGGGTTACACAACAGTTGCTGTGTGCTCGGCTCGAGTAATAAGCGTAGCTTTTGAAGTGCACAGATGAACCAAATCCTCTATCAACATCTCCTCGTTAGCGCTGCTATGGGGCGTCATTTAGAAAAGAACGCTGTATTGACCTGGTACAAATCCATCTCCTCTCGTCGTGTAGATCTTATTGGCGACTACGCAGGTGGCGAAATATTCCTTGTTGAATTCGATTCGCTCCTACTTCAATGCTTTTCCAATCCAAAGCTTAACTTCTGTAGTAAGTACTAGGAATTGCTGCCACTAAAATCTGACCAGAGCGTTTATGTATTGACCAGATGGCTTTTAACTGCTCCACGCGGTCTACATCGTCGAGAAGTTCCTTCAAGACTTGCTCTCAAGGAGATGTCGGTTTCAGGTTGTCTGCTTTGACCAGAATGAAGAGCTTTGTATCCCGCCAAATGCAGGTCGGACAGACTGGCCTAAGTATGCGCTGGCGCGGTCATCTTCAGGCATCTGGCACGCAACTTGAGTTCGGACAAAAGAATCATGTTTAGACGGTTTACTTTTGGTTGCTATCCTGCGACGAATGTCGCGCAGATATCATCGTGGCGGCACTTTCAAGAGTTCTACCTAGTTAACAAGACAGTCAACTTCAACGCAGTAGAGCGACGTTATAGTTGATCTATAACTCTTGCTACCTTTGAATGCTCATAACGTAGTTGTGCTTGTACATTTTGTTGCTCTTCTCCGCATGTCGGCGATTCGACTGGATCTTAGGTAACACCCAAGAGTCACTCTCAAGCTTTTCTTCTGTGGACAAGCAGCGGTAAACTCCTCTTGCGGAGCCGGCTCTACTGAAGTTACAATATACTCCTCTTGTAACAACTCCGGCGTGGGCGCGCCAGACCGGCTAGATTGGCTAGAGTAGTGAGATCGTCTATCTAACCGAGGAACTGGATTGTGTCGATACAGCACCGTGACTACACACATATCTGGAGGCAGGGCTGTTGACGAGAACAGTCGGATAGAATCTATAAACGGGTTGCGAATAGTCTTCAGTCGATTCAGCGGGAATTCGCAATGGAAAGTTCAGTGGGCTGTGACGTTCGGCTATTGTACTAGTCTAATAAGACTGTGGCTCATCCTTCACTAGGAAGTCAGAACGATCATCTAAAGTTAGGCGCTGTCAGCTGCTTATCACAGGTCTCACCTTTGGTAAACGACACGATTTTGAACCCGAAATGAACGGGCTTCACGACATCGCGTTGTGCATCGTGTTTATAGTACTTTTGAGTATTTGATATTGAACAGACATTCTGCCCACCCCCAGTTTCATCCTATCAGTCGTTACAACGCGTATATTTGTTCAAGACTCCCAAAACGGGCTTGTTCATACAAGCACTCTTGTCAGCTGCAGGTTTCTTAATGGCGCGGTCTGGAAAATACAGCACTGAAAGACAGGAGTGTCATGTGTAGCAGGGCGTGTCAAAGTTGGCACGTGTGGTTGGTGGTGGTTACGTACCTGGATCCAACTCAAGCCAGTACGGTAAGCGATAGCTATCGCTAACTAAGACAAAGGCCGACGCACCATAGATACTCTCTAAGCTTAAACAACCAAATTATAAATAACTAGATAGAACGGCCTAGGCCAAAGTCTTACATAGCCTCTGGCTCATTAGACTCTAATGGAATGATAATAATTATATTCAGACCTCTCTGTTGTTTTGGTTTTGGTTCTACTTTGAGTAGCTTTCTCCTGCCATAGTGAGGTGGATGTGCTGTCCGATCTTCCATTTGCTTACCCGTAGGCTGCTGGAAGTCTTAGCTATGAAAGCATGCAGTGAGCTGGAGTATCCGCGTGTATGTCTAGCTTGCGCACGCCACCTAGGGCCATTGGTCTGGAAATGTGACGATGATTCCAAAGATCTTAGAGATCATCCGAGCCAAGCAGCGACCGCACGTCAAGAACATAAAGCCACACAACGCCCTCTAGTTCTGGTGCCAGAGAATTAAAACGAGAGATCCTAGAATGCAGAGCACAAACTCGAAAAAGGCCTCTGCGAACGCACGGTCGTGAACTGCCTCGGCAAAAGCAATAAATCTAACCGCGTCCTCGGTAGGCTCTGCATCAAGTTCGTTGGGGCTGGGCATGGAGATGCAGGATTGAAAAAAACGTGTGAAAGTCTGCGGCGTGTATTCATCCATGTATATAACCATCACATGGAACTCCAACCTGGTGAAACTCCAGACGTGTGAAATGCCAGGGATGTAAGCGCTGACGTTCGTGTCACAGCTCTCGTCAGCACCTTCAAGCCTCTCCACTAGAAGAACCACGACTCTTAGTGTTTGCACGGATTGAATCATGCTACAAGACGGCAATACTAGTGACGAAAAGGGTTCGTTAGTAGTAAGGAGGCGGTGGAATATTGAGCATGCAACTAAGCAAAGAGCAAAGTGTGAGGGGCCCAGGGCCATGTGGCCGAATGAACCCAGCCACATCTCCGCTTTTTGACGTAACATGTAGTTAATTTCATTATTGACTAAGCATAGGCCTGAAGACTGAGACTGAACACATGCATCCTATCACAGGTCGCTGGCGATAGATCGGCTCCTCCAGTGAGAAAGCAAACCAAATACACGACTATGATTGGTATAGCTATGGCAATGCACACGAAGCGCTTGACCTTATCTATTAGTGCAAAAGTAACGGCCTATGGCTCTTGTTATGGGAGTAAAACCCACTTTAAGAAGCACACAAAAAGGAAACTCTGAGTCTCAGATACACTAGAGGTGCGGTATTCAGTCACTATAGGCGTATCACTACTGCAATTGCCCACTAGTGTTTCCCACAGCTGCGAGTGATGCCTTTTCAACAATATACGGACGGTGGTGAAATACATGTTGACAAAATTGTAGGCAGTGTTTTCGGTGAGTCTCCCATCTTGTCTGAAATGGTTTCTACAGTACGGCTACAAGACGAGATTGGAGGCAGAACTTTGGAAAGGTCGCTGGTCCAGCCAGCTCATGCCACCCTCCACTATTGGATCGCCTGAATCCTGTTGTAGTGAAGCTGCTGGCGAAGAATAATGAGGTGACATGATACTACTGAGAAACAAGATGTATCACTACCATCGCAGGCTCCTCTATCTATGTCAATTCAAGTCCCTGGGCTACTCTATGTAGCCTACTGATAACCTTGCATGATACGTCCATAGGACAAGATCACTAGATAATCACGTCGCAAGGGTATAGTAGGATGAAGATGCAGAGATAATAACGGATCCACCATAGAGTATATCCGTAGACACGAAGGGGTACCAAGCCTTTCGAGGGCACTTTTCTAGAATCTTCTTGACTAATAACATAGAAATGTCTGAGAACGGGATCATAACGAGATCTCTGGCGTTATCGTGAGACCAAACTTTAACTTAAGTACCATGGCGCCAGCTTTGTATTTCTAGTGAGCTCTGAATGAATTAGATTACCTCTAGATCAGAGGTGCCTAAACGTTTACGAATATGAATAGGGTCAATCGGCTTCATGGACAGTAGTTTCTTAGTAATGCTAGAGAAAGACAACCAATGATTTTGGATTACTAATTATGATGATAAGTAAGCGTCTAGTATGCTGTAGCTAATGACAATGAATTTCATCATTGTTTTCTAAAAGGGAGGCAGGGGAGTTTGTCGGATGACGCTGGCACTGTCATGAGCAATTGCGGCTTTACCACTGTAAGCCGCATTTCTAGTTATCACACTAATGAAACTATGTATCTATAGTGGCTTTATATATGGTATTCTAAAATATAGCGCCTACTTATATATGTGCTCCAAGGTGTTCTAGCCATTGTTGGTAGCTAGCCCGAAATTAGAAAAGATGTCCCCGAGCTAGCGTTTACTGTATCGCAGCATTGAAGGATGCCGAAGGCTTTATTGATTAATAGAGCGCAGTGCTTGTATGGGCATGCTCATCGCACTTGCGCTCCTGACACGGCGACTAGATAGACGTCGGACATACCACAGATCCATTCACCAAAAGAACCGCCTTTTTCTCTTGCTTTGAAATAGAATCTGCATCTAGTGACCAGACTGAGGCCAAAATTCAAATCGGCGTATTGGCAATCGCGCCCATCCAGAGGAACTAGGAGTTTGCGAGCTCGGTCGGGCTTTCTATCGAGCCTGTATCACTGGTCGAGCCCATGTTCACTGTCATCCCCGCGACAATCTCACTTTAGGAACAGGTGTTGTGCACCTGCTGGGATTAGACCTTGATCGATTTCCAACAGCCAATGCGACGTCTGTGCGCACGAATTTCCAATTGATCAAACTATTTGGAAATGTCTTGCCTTATGGAATGGACAAGGGAGACGACAGCTATTGGCGAACTTTCGAGAAGATATTGGCGCGGCTAGCTGAGTAGTCACAGTGGAGATAAAACAATGATGCTGCCGGGTAGTACATAGTAATTTGTCTGCATCCTCAGATACCTTGGCACTCCACTCCCAGCTTTGGATCTATGGTCCTCAGAAGGGTAAAGGTGGCTTGGTGTAGTGGCCGTACACCTGGCAAGTCTGAGTTTCAGACAGTTGGTTCGAATCCAACAGCCATCAACGCACTTTTGTGTGGACCCACTTCCTATTCTTCTCGACTAGTTATTAACAAGGCGGAAAGGCAGTCTTCTCTCCTCGTTTAAATCTCTTAAGGTTTTCCCCTACGAGGTTTTTACTTAAGAGAAACAAGAGTAAGAGCGCAAGACTTGTAATTAGTTACTTGAAGATAGAAGAGGAGGAAAGCCGACACAACGTTGTTGTCACATGCCTGAGAACATGATAAAAAGAATCTATCTCTCAACCTACGGAGGGAAGGCAACACGAAAGCAAAAATGTATTTAGAATAGGCGTTCTTAGACATAAAAATGTGCCCTAGGCTTCGCCCGTCTTCATGCCACAAGGGAGGCGGGAGCCCCCTAGGGCGCTTCTATAAGGACGATAAACTAATACAATCAATGAGAAAGGGCAAAGGCAACGCCTTTGTGTATGTTTCAGCGATATGACGACATACAAGCAGAGGGAAAGCGTGTATTTTAAACATTATCGTAATGTAGGAAGATAATTATATAAGCAAGATACAGAAAACATGAAATAATATAAGATGTCAACAACAATAGCCGTTTCGCGTTTCGTGTGAGCATTAGTGATACCTCAAGAACAGCAATTTGCTATTAGGATGATCAACGCTGCGAGCAATAACTACACGAGTAATTAGTTATGTACGGTACCCTCATCTATATTTGTCACCTAACTATCGTGTTAGATAGTTATCTAAAAGCACGAGTTATTTTTGAATAAAAAGAAGTAATTAGCTAATCAAAAATTTCGGAAAAAGCCGTGATTTTCGCGATTTCTACGAGTAAATTCGAGGAAAATCAAAACTCCATAACTAGTTAGTTAGTTATTAAAGTATATTGCTACAAAGTAGGCTTGTTTTGGTGAGACATCGCTTAACTAGACAGCTTTTAGCCCGCTGCGAACGATAGTGAAGACCGAAGATGAAGCTGTAAATCAAGTTGACGTTTCCTGCTTGTGAATGTGTCCATGATTGATCGTTCCTGTAATGTGACGACAGTAGCAAAAAAAATGCAGGGTGGTCAAGTATCAGACCCAACGGCGAGACATGGGCAGAGAGCGAGCTAAGAGCTATTTCTCTGAAGGTCAATTCTAGCCACCCTAAACCAAGACATAGCTGGAGAATATGGGACCGTGGGAAATGAGCCGAGACCGAGGCCAGACTGGTAAATAGGACGTAGAGGCTAAGTACTGACTCTTGCTTTACATTCTATACTCACGCCATGCACTCGCAGCATGTACTTTATACTAAACACATGTACGTGGGTAGTAGTGAGACCGCATATTGCAAGTGTCTGTAGCGCTATCCTAATGGCTTCGTTATCATGGCAGGTCATTTTTCACATGTCTCAAACGGGTGTAGAAAACAAGCACTGAGAAAGGGTGGTGAAATGTACAACATCTCACGTGGCGTCTAGACGACGTCGCTTATCTGCCTGCAGAGGCGAGTCGTCTAGCCGCCTCTTCTTGCTGACCACCTTCGTAGCAGTTTGCGCCTCTTTAAGCGCACTCCATTCGAGCATCTGTAGATCAACCAAAGTCTTAAAGGTTAGCGGCGAAGCGCTGATGTGATGGATACGGTCCTCATGTAACCTTAGGCGAATATCTAGTTCATCATCAAGCGAAGAAACGCGCAAACATACTAGTTTGCTGAAGTTCCCATGCCGATCGAGGCACTCTGACATGGGTTCTCTTGAATCATTCACCTGCATTTGGATCTGGAAGTTAGCGTCTAGACAATCGAGCATTTGCAGTAGTTGGCAAAATGCGGGATTGACCCCGGGGATCCGACACCGGATCATCCCATAGCATGTGTAGGAGCCACGCTCGTAGACTGGCATTCGCCCGGGCTGTAACTCAAAGTAAAATGTGAGAGCGAGTGCAGCATCGGCCAAATCACGCACGGTCGGGTCCGCCGTAAAGTAAGCACGGGCTGCCTCAGCAAGACTCTCTACAGCAGAAACGTCAGATAGATCGGGTAGCTCGCCTTCTATTGGTAGATTGAATCGATGGAGCCATTCATCTATGCCGGCAATCCCTCCGGGCAATGATATCGCCAGAATCTGTCGCATGAGAGCAAATCGCTTATCGCCATCAAAATTCTCGTTCAAGTAATGTTTAGCGGTCTGCTGCAGAGAGCTGTTTCCGAAAAGTAGACTGGGGTAGACACTGGATTTGGCAACCTTTTTCGTTGTCGAGATGCCCGTACCAACGGATACGAAGTGGTCAGAACGGCTCAGCCCAGGAGCCATCTTCTGAAGCTCCTGTACAGCGAGCATGCAAGGATTGTTGTCACTTAGCCCTCCGTCCATGAATGTACTATGGCCAGGCATCTTGTATGGCGTGAAATACCTACAACTGTCAGACATCAGTCAGCCAGCTACCATTGGTAGCACTCACCATGGAGCCGCCGATGTACATCGCGCACTATTGCATTGCGTAAGCATTGGACTCAGGTTGCAGTAGTGTAACTTACGCGTCTTTGATGCGTATCTCGCTGGCAGCGTCTTTTGATTGCAAGAGCCGGTACGTTGACATATCTGTATATCTTTCGTCGCCATGTCTGGAAGACGTTCCGTTGTAGCTCGTTACTAGACACGTATCTAGTGTTTCGGCATCCACGACAGGCAGACCAACTCGTGCCCCAATCGAAGACACATATTGAAGGTCCAACATGGTGGCTTCGCCAAAAATCTCCGCTAGGGCGTCCTCAATGTCACTGGCAGGAAAACGGCCATGGCGACACGAAGTGACGAGTGTATAGACGGTGGCCGCAAGACCCAAGCCCCATTGGCTCCGCCCACGAAATATGCGTGTTGATAGCTGTTTAAACAATGTGAAAGATTCTTCGGGTCGCATTCCCAGACCGTAGAGAGCCAAAATGACCAAACCACCTGTTCAATAATGAGCTAGACGCGGACACGAGGACAAACAAGACGGCGTTTCTACAGTGACGTACCTGAACTTGTTCCATAGGCCAGATCGAAGTGTTCTTGAATTGGCATATCGAGACCTATAGCCTTTTCGAGTGCGCAGAGAAATTGAATGGGAATCGCTGCGCGGATGCCGCCACCATCGATAGACAGCACGCGAAGACCAGCAGTGGCAGGTTTCACGCGCACACTAGTTTCGGAAGCCTGAGAGCAAAGAGGACAGCGACTCAACTGGTACAGATACGGGTCGCTCTCTAAACAGCTTCCCATAGCTGTCAGGCAATTTTCGCAAACCAAATGGCCACACTGGAGCTTATGCTGCGGATCTGCTTGCACGCAAGCTAAGCAGACCCTGTGAAGCTTCCTCGTCATCAGCCAATGTCGAAAGTCTGCCAGTAGTCTCATGCGAGGGTTTGGGCAAAGTATCTTACTTCTCTGCACGAAGTGCTGCTCGATAAGTGAGACTAGTTCACTGCGAAGCAGCAACACCACATCGCCGCCATTTCTCGAGGACTTTAGCATTTTGTTTCCAGCTGCTTCTATACAAGCGGACTTATAATGAGTCTGGAATACCTTGAGAGGGTCGAACACTTGCGCAAGTTAGCAGAAAGAAGCTGCGCGTCTCTACAGGACACTGACAGGGCACGTCATATGCATAATTGTCAACCGCGAGACAACCTGCCATAAATGGAATCGCAAACTCCAGTGTTTCATCCAAGTCGTCCACCGAGTCGAAAAGGGCACTCAGATACGTCGGCAGGCGCGTGGACACGGGGCGGTGGGACCGCGACGCAGCGATCATGTCGAATGGGGTTCGTTCATTGCTGACGAAATGATCGCAAGCCTTACGGAATAGAATATCAAAGTGTACTGCGTTCAGGAGGGTGTAGCTGCGAACACGTTCGTTTCTGCTAGTATCGACCTCGCGTTTGACGCGGTCGGTTAGCGTCTGAATGCTAGTATGTTTGACGTATACAGAAACGTGAGAAGATATGTCAAATTTGGGCTGTTTTAGACGCGCACGTAAGATCTTCACTAGGCAACTTTTTACAGCGGCCTCGCTTCGCTTTTCGGAAGGTGATGCTATGAAGAGTAATCGAGGGTGTGCCGCAGTACTGGGCTCTTGATTAAGCACCTGCTCCAGCCATGGTACCATCGGATCCACCTGATGCTGCATGTTGCGAATTCCTGTAGAGAAAAAACACACCACATCCGCGAATGGACGTATCAGTCTACAATGGAGACTGTTAAACGCCTCGGCTAAACTACCCACTTGCCGCTGCAATGCACGTACCGTTTGGCGGTGACAGAGAGCGACTGCGGGTTCTGCTACAAATGTGCTCCGCTTCGAAATATCTTCGTGTGCAATTAGCATGGGACGATCACTAAAAGCGGTAGTTGGGTCTAGTTGTAAAGTCACTCCATGAGACGCTCGACTGTTCACGCAGGTTTTACTAGTGGGAAAAGTATTAGCTAATAATGTTCCCTTCGCAGCGCTGCCAAACATGACGACCAGACTTGGACTTTTGCTAGCAGGTTTATCCAGCCCCGTGATTATATCATTCAGAGTACTAGCACAATGCAACAGGAATTTATCCTTTCCATGGATGGACAGCCAGGCTCTGTGCTTGCAGCTGTTCATGGTTGCTGGACCACGACGGCTGACCATACGATGTTCTTGAGGAGAGATTCTCGGCAGGCTTAGTTCACGTTAGACACCAACGTGCTATATAACGCCAGTGAGAAGATTTTAATGACGCAGACGCATAATGGCTGTGACAGGGACGTGTTATATGCTTACTTGATCCATGTATAACGCGTAAGCAGATGACCTATGGCAAAGTGATATGCAGTATCCTCATGCCTTCAGGTAAGCCTTTTGGAAACGCATCTTTGTTTTTTGGATTCTATCATGACTTTACAGCTGTTTGCTTACAGGGCGCATCTGCTGAGCATTTGATTGAAGATGAAGGCATGTCCGAGACTTCTTTCCCCATATGAACACAAGCGCAATTGGCCGCTATGATTGCTTGACTTTATCTCGCTAGTCACTAACTCATCAAAACCAGCAACGATTAACCCTAGTGCAAGAGGGGTTTCTAGTGGAGTGAACAATAGACTCACGCGTACAGTGTGATAGGCTACGCCCTTGTGGCTAAGACTGCACTTAGGAATCAATCGCTATTGCAATCATGCGAGCTTAAGTATCGATCATGCATGACAACGCGCAGCTACGTTGTCTTTTGCTCTGCTTCTTTCGCATATGAATGGCGAACTTGGTCTTATGCTTGGCTCGGTGAGCCTGCCTGTTACAGGTTCTAAGGGGCCAAGCTTAGTAGGCTCACTTGGCTGGCATCTCGTTCTCTTTCTGGCCTTCTCCCCTCACCTTCGCTGTTTTTCCTTGCTCTTGCCCTTGATCTTTGCCCTGTGCTCTTTGTTCACGGTTCGGCAAGTTGAGAGCTTGTCAAGCCATTTGCCTTAGCAAGCTTTGTCTTAGCACACCATTTGCTTAAGCCACAGCTTCCCTTCCCTTCTCTCTGGTTAGCTTAGTGTCTGCTATTTTCGTACCTCAAATAGATCGCCTTCGTTCTTTCAGCCATCTAGTTGCTATCGCTGCGTGAAGTCATCCTCACTCAGGTCTAACTACACGTAAGAGATAAGTAAAAAAAAGGTGCAAGAAAGCAGCCAATGAACGATAAGTAGAGGCAGGGGGTAGAGCAGGGAGGGGACGTGGTGCATAGATAAAGGAGGCAGCGGGGAGCTGCTAGACAGAAGACTTACGGATGAGTTTACGCAGTTTTGGAATAAAAGGATTCTAGAACCAAATACCTAAGTAGCGTGATCAAAGCTCCATGAGTGGACCTGTTCTCCGCGCGGAATGTACTCATCACGAGCTAAGTTTTGGACAAGTGGTTAAAACAGATGTTACGTCTAACCACGGGAGTGCTATGCTCTATATTCCTATATGTAGACTGTAGAAATAAGAACAGTATCCCAGTATCTACCACACATCACATTTCCAAGCACCTACATTACCAGGTCATCACATTTGCAAATCATTACTGATTCGCAACTCCTTCCTCGCTTTCTTTCATAAGAGGCAGAGACATCGCCCTGCGACCTGTGTTAAGCGCCTTCTGTCTGTCGTTTGCACGGGCGAATTGTTTGGCTGTATCCAGATTCTCCGAAGCTGTAAGGAACGCGTTGCGAATCTCTGCTTCGAATTCCTCTTTTCGTTTTGCTACAATCCGTTCGAACTCATCTGCTTGCTGGCTGCAGTATTCATTGAAACTGAACTTTTCGTCTTCGCTGACCATGGCTAAATCAGACCTCTCGTTAGCAACTGCTTCCTCTATATCAATGCTGGCGAGATGATAGAGCTCAGAGGTTTTCTCAGAGGCTTACTCAAGAACTCGGTCGATATCTTGGGCGAGGGTTTGGGCAAAAGCACTGGTGATTGTTCTCTTTATCTCTGCGATGGGCGTCAAATGGCAGTTCTGGGTCTGGTCGCAGCGTGTGGGTGTGGTTGGGATTTGAGTGTAGGGTGGTGTTGGTGACGAGTGTGGCCCTGGTGAGTGGCCTGTACGCATACCACCAAAAACCTCGGCCAACACGGCTGGGAGAACTCTCTTCACCTCCAAAGCGACAGTATCTTGGAAAAGATTGAATGGAACCGTAGACGTGGAGCTGAACTGTGATGCGGGAGTAGAACGATCTAGCAAAGGCGAATCTGGAGGTCGTCGGGGGCGCTTCGTTGCAGGAGTATCGGGTGCCGGGCCGAGACCATCTAGATAATGCGTATTGGTAACAGGTAGTGCATTATCCGACTACAATCCTGCCCTTACTGTCTCTCGAGCGCTTGCCCGAGCCTGGCTCTTGCTGATATGGAGGTGGATCTTGGGTTGCCATGTTTTGGTCAACATTTTGTCCAGCTCTCCCATCCTCGCTGGAGGGTATATACCGAACCCTACTGAGAATTGACCACTTGACTTCTTGATAAAGATTGGTGAAGTGTGGGAGAATCGGCACCCTAGAGAACTCCTCGGAACCGTTGAAAATGGACTGAAACCTCGAGTAATTGGTGCCAAGCCAGTTGGTGTCGAAAACAATCCGTACTTGCCTCGCCCGCGCCAGTCTTAAAAGTTTTGGAAAATCAGGACAAACGCTGAGAGCGTCTTTGCAGTACCATACAGAACAAGGTTGTTTAGAGTTAATGACAGCGTTCGAGTCTTATAACTCCCGTTTTGCCCTGGATTATCGAGCAATTCAGCCGAAAGAGGCATGTTAAATTGCGTGAGTGATATCGTGTCAGGCACCAGCTTATCGCCTTCATAACGCAAAAAAACACGTTGGCTGTCGTCAACACCAGGGCATGGCAGAGGGTATTCGAGATAGAAGCCAAGCTGCGTGTCAGCGGACGATTTTACAATCCTTAGTAAACACGACCATAGTACACATGCATCATCAGCAGCATACGCTAGGGCGGAGACGCCTCCCTTGCTAAGGAGATTATGTAGTGCTATTGTGCGTTAAGCTTTTCTCCAGGATGGATTTACTTACAATATACCCCTTTGCAACAAAGCATGCGAGATGCAGCAAAGGAAACCCACCCACCCGGGCTTTCACACTAATAGCAAAGAGCAGCTCTGACTCTGTCGCAGCAGCAAGCGCCAGATCGTATACAGCTAAAGACTAGCCTTGTTCGCACACCATGTGCCTTGCTTTGGTAACGCCCCTCGGATGCGCGGATCAGAAACACAAAGATTGTGAAGCTGATGCGCTGCATCAGAGGCCTTGCAGTAAGGATAGCGCACGGAGACAAGACGACAAGCAGGCGAAAAGGTAGGGTTACCACCTAACGGTGGAAGTTTTGCTTTCGCGAAGTAGGCGGAGTTTGGAAGACAGAGAAGAAGTGCTGGTCAATGTTGGTGGAGATGGAGATGAAGGCGGTTGAAGGTTGGGGTTGGGGGTTGGCGCTGGGACGCGACGCGGTTCTCGGTGCCTGGATGCTTGGCACTATGCTATACCAAATATAGAATAGCGTGCTGGCGTCAAGCCGCATGGGCATTCTGGACTGACACAGACGGCACGCGCTCGCAAACTGTAGCAGTTGCGCAAAACACCTCCTCCTGAGCGGCCGCGTCTCGTGGAAATGTCTTCTGATACGCCCATTAACTCGTAGTGCTACTCGATTACCGCGAACGTCACGTAGCAACAGCGTAGCAATCAGACCACCGACCGGGCCCAAAGTCGTATACTTCCGACCCTTCGCGAGGCATGCCACTCGACTCGACGCGTGTTCTTCATAAGTGGATGAAGAATCGCGAAGAAAGCTCCGAAGACATGGCAACCGCACCAGACAAACACGACCTACTTGGATTCCCAGGTACCGATCTTGAACACCCCAAACACTACACTCGGAAGCTATGGCTTGTCGCGGAGGATGATCGCAAACTATATCCCAAGTTCATAGACGAGGAAGTTATTAAACTAGCAAGCCATGTGAACACGGTCGTCAACACGTACGTGAAGGAAGAGGAGAAGCGTTCTGGTGACGATTTTCTCAAGCAGGAAGCTGTACATATACTCAAAACATTAGGCTTTGGGCAGCGTATATGGGGTGATGGTTCCGGGGCTGAGACGCGGCTAAAGAGCAATGTGCCAGGGGAACGCCCACGGTGGGGTGTTCACACAGACTCCGGATATAAAAGCAATGATGAAGACAGGTAAACCCTGATAGTCCATAGGTATCTAAGAGGAAGATGCTGATCTGTACAGTATTCAACGGAATCTTGGATGTTGGATGGCCGCTCGCATACAAAACAAGCTCAATGCACCTCGTAAAGAGGAAAAATGCGTTCCTTCAGTGACAGTGGAACACACCGCACAGTTATCACCAGAACCTGTACAACCATCAAACCCGCAGCAGTCCAAGCTCGTTCAGCGAAGTGTCCCTTCAGCGGCGCCCGATCTCGTGTCAGCGTTAAAACGCCGTAGAAATCATTTCCCGCTGACAGCTGCGGGAAACTCAACAGCTGACAGTAGCCGATCTAGGAGTAGGACACGCTCAGACGGCTCAGAAAAATCCTTTTCTTTCACAAGTTTCGTGGATAGCGAATCAGAAGTGGACTTTTCCCAGTTGGCTAAACGCCCAAAGACACACACCAGCTTTTAAGCAGAAATCTTTCATCAAAACTCGTCAATTTTCTATCAGATATAGGGGTAACACGTCGCGAGAAACCGATTTACGCCACCTCTAATGTGTGCAGCCCTCTCGTTGAGGTGCTAGAGGGGGTATTGTCGGTATTCTTGCGACGTGTTCGAAATGCGAAAATCTTCGAGAACGCACAGACCGCCCTAATGACTAATAGGGAGACTACCAAAC